TATAGAAATATTTACTTTCGTGGTCTAATTAGTATCACATGAGTGGAAGATTGTCTTAGCTCTTTTCATGCCAACAATTGAGGAATTCTGAGAAACAAGTTTACTTAAATAAACGATACTTTCAAAAGAATCGTGTAGTTTATAGTTTTATTAGTCGAAATTCCACAACTAGAAAAATTAATTGTAATTACAATCCTTAGTTTATGTTAAATTTTTATTGGGGACAGACTGAAATTCAGTCTAGGGAATTGATATCTTTTTCAAATGTTGTCAATATAATATGTATCAGTAATAGAGACACCAACACGAGGCCAAGGTTGCAATTTAGAAACCATAGCGACCGACATCAATGAACCAAGATTGATTTCTTGCGTATCTCCGTATCTCCTTTAGCAAAAAGAAAAAATGCTGTGTAACAAATTATATAATGATTTATAAATCAGGTCACACTACACAGGGTTACTATTTCTATCCAATGTTTTTTTTTACTTTTTCTTAATTCAAAATGTTTTCTGTAGGCTAAAGACTACTCAATTTTTAATTGTTTTACTTTCAAATTTCGGCTCTAAGATTTTAAACACAAGAACTGTGTTGAAACGATAAGCGTACTATGATAACGATACAGACAATGTGTAGAAGAAACACCTGGTAGAACTGAGTAGCTATGATTGGAATCTCTAAGTTTTACTAATTACCCGACAGCATTATAACTAGTCATCTTAGTAATGTAGAAGGGTGCTTACTGAGAAAAGTGGCATTTAAATCCTGGTGGTACCTCCCACATCTTTCTTAATCTCTTAACCTAATTAGGATATACGATATGGTCATTATGTATTGTTTGATATAGGTGTAGGTTTAAGGTAGTCTGGAGTGCTGGTCAGCGAGGTTCGTCTTGAAGTTCTACTTTTTATTTTCGGGCACTGTTGAAGATGGTGAGGTTCGTCATGGCGTAATTCCCGGCATTTTAAAATGTAATTCATCGACTTTATTTGGAAACTCCTTAGAAAACAGGAAATTGCAATAGTTTCATCATTAGTGTCGATGGCGCTCTCAGATCTCTATATAATTCGTAATATTAAGTTTTACAGGGTTTTTAGGGCTTCTCTGTACATAATTTTAATACAGCACATTTGATGTTGTCTATTGGAGCGATCTGATAACATTGTCAATCCGATTATATAATTTTTATATTCATTAAAGCCTTATTTAAATATACTGAATTTTCTACGATTGTATACTTAAAATATACTATCAAATATAACCTATTACCTCTTAAACAACTCATCAAAATTGTTTAAAAAAAAATAATAATGTTATATAATCTACATTTAGAAATCTACAGCTATAAAGTAAAATGTTAACTCTAAAATGTCAAAATCTATTTTAAAGTTGGTTTCTCTCTAAAATGAATTAATCATTAGTCAGATATAGACTGTTGATAGATAACATGATATCGTTGTTCTTTCACCTGTTTTTAAACTATCTTTCAACTTCCAGCTAACAACTTAATTTCATTACATCATTACACTACACTTAATGGTTGTCATTCATTACATTTAAAGATGTATACCTCGCTATCTTTCAATCTCTACCTACACATTTCAATTTTAAATCATTACACTACACTTTGTGGTTGCCATTCATTACATTTAAAGATGTATCCCCGTTATCTTTCAATCTCTACCTACAAATTTCATTTATTAAATCATTACAATACACTTAGTGGCTGTCATTCATTACATTTAAAGATGAGTACCTCGCTATCTTTCAATCTCTGCCTACAAATTCCATTTATTAAATCATTACAATACACTTAGTGGCTGTCATTCATTACATTTAAAGATGAGTACCTCGCTATCTTTCAATCTCTGCCTACAAATTCCATTTATTAAATCATTACACTACACTTAGTGGTTGCCATTCATTACATTTAAACATGCGTGCCCCGCTATCAGAGGCCTCGACAGAAAGTCTCTGGGCACTGATTGGCTTTATTCGCTGATGTACAATCCAATCCAATCCAATCGCCGTATTTAGTGATAAAAGAAAGGTGACTATGCAGTCAAGGTATAACTCCTAATAGCTTGACATTGTAAAGATGTTTTGAAGATGGATTTTAAGTTTTTTCCAAGCTCTAGCTAATGACTTAATTTCATTACATCATATCACTACACTTAGTCTTTGTCATTTATTACATTTAAAGATGGAATCTCCGCTATCTTTCACCTCGTGTTTGTCATTCATCGCAGTTAAAGGTGGTTTTCCACTATATTTCAGCCTCTAGCTACACCTTGATTCATCATATCACTACTCTACACTTAGTGTTCGTCATTCCTTAAATCATTACACTGCACTTAGTTTTCATTCATACATTACATTTAAAGATGTATCACGGTTCGCTAGTTTTGAATTAGCTTACGTCATTGAAGATGTCAAAGGTTCATTGAATTTGAATAATTACAGGAAATAATGACAACGATGATTTAAATAAACATTATCCATATAATTATTATTTCAGAAAGACAAGTTTTTTCATGAATAGTTGAGTTGTTTTTTAATTGAATATGCGGATATCAGAGAATATATTACTCATTGATATCATTATCATAATGGTCATGATAAACTAATGTTTAATAACTAATACACCTGTAACTGGGATATAAGTTGTGAATAGATTTGTCAAGTTATTAACGAGAATCCTTATAAAATCACAGGTTAAACATGATATGTCGTCAGCGGCTTAGAAATTGTATCAGTGTTTGTTTACGTACACGGACATTATTTTCCATTGGTCTCCATTATCCTATGCATTCGATTAAGCAAAGGTACTGTTTCGCGGTTGAAAAGCTGAAAACAAAAAAAAGGATATGCTTTATATAGCTGTAATATAATCCCTTTTCATAGAAGGGTTTATGATTCATATAATAAGTCCAAAAATCGTACGGCATACAAAATAGATAACTGTTATTGAGAGTCCATTCAATCATTTATTCACCTGATATAACTATAAAACAGTATGGGGGCAGTCGAGCAGGTAGGACGTGTTTTCGTTAATCTTTTTTACATATTGCCATATTGTCAAATTTCATTGTTTAATTTGAACCAAGATGGCGATGTCTTTAATTGTCACGAGTTAAAAACAAAGGTAGGCTATCATCTTTCTTTAATGGATGTAGAATATCATAACATATGACTAAGTTTAAAATTTTGATATTAACTATAGATTACGACCTTGAAGCCAATAACATGCCCTTGTACATTATAGTGAATGTCGACGATCTCTAATCGTCAATATGTAACGAATATACAGAGCATGATTGATAATTGATGCTTGATATGAATTGGGTGTCAAACCTGATGCATACGGGTAGATAAGATAAAATAACAAAATACTAGTTGCTTTACACGACATTTGTCGAACTGTTGTCTGGATTTGTTGTAATTGAGAGATATAGTCACTTCACGTCATCTTCTGTCCTTCTCCTATACATGTAATTAATACTGCAGTACTATAGTTTCACCTGTGTTGTGATAAACAAGCACAGTGACATTCAAAGTCAATATGTAGATTAACTTGGGGTATAATAACTCAGCCTTAATTTTGTTAAAAGCAATTTTTGTAACTTGACACACGGATATCCCATTATACATAGTATAGATCATAGTGCGTGAGAAAGAAACAATCTCTTCCACAATGCGTAACGAATGGAAGAGTGCCTGTAACATAGTGAAAACAAATGACAACATATAAGTTAAATAATCGGCACAGGGTCACAATAGTTCAGTAGACATCATTCAAAAATACTCTACTCTTGTGTCTAAAAGGCGCAAAATATCGCTTATAGTTAGAATATTCCCCACTCGTACTACAGTTATATACCTAGGTATTCTTGATTGAAATGTGTTCAGTCAAGTGATACAAACTGTTATACAAAGTTTCTAATCTTTCTCTAAAAGAAAAGCCTTAAGAGAGTTCATTTTTAGGAATTTTTTTTATCTCTATATTCTCCAAGATTGATAAATTCCTTGACCGAGGCTTGATATATTGATATATTGATATATTCATATATTGATATATGTGGGTTCAAGAGTACAATATTATTCGGGTACTGGAGAAATAATCTCCCTTTTAATGTTATACGACCTGCAAATTACCAACCTTTCGTCTTAGCCTATACCTATTATATACCTATATTCAAAAAAGGTAGTCTCAATTCAGAGAAATCTTGTCTTTGATATCAAATTCAATAACCCCTGTCTATTTGGCCCCTTGGTGACACAACTGCAATTTATTTTTGTAATGTTTTAGTAATCAGTGTTCTATAAATATTTACTTATGTCACGCAATGAAATATTTCCCGGTAGTTATATTTAATAGTTTCATTATTGTCTATATGTGTACGTGATCTTTCTCCACAACCAGTTCTTTTTATATTTCAGTTTTACTTTAAGTTGAACTTTGGTGAAAATTGATTTTGCATTGATATCATATGGACATGGTCAACCACAGTCTGGAATTTATAGGAATTACACAAATAATTTGAAAGTTTTAGACCATGGGGTGCTGTCAATCAAATGATAAGACAGGGAATTTCGATGATATTAACGGAAACAGAAATGGTGGTCTGAAACCACTCCCAGCACCAGTGAGGCCAGGGAAACCAGATCCAGATGGACTAGAGTACGAGAGGACGGATGTCGGTACATACACATTGCACTTAGATTTCAGAATTCGTCCCCGCCAACCACAAAGATCTAAGAGACCACGAGTTCGTCCTGGAGAACTCTATACTGATTATGATTTCTCACTGGATGATGCTGTGAAAGATTCTGATAATCTTGTCTGGAGAAGACCTCAAGTATGTTACCTTCAGTTCAAAATGAAATTGGTGAATTTTATAGATAAAGAGTATCAAGCAATGTATGAGAATTATACAGTTACAGCATTGTATATAGTCGCGCCATTTTTTCTTTTTAAATATTTGGGGAAATAAAATAGAATGGCAAGAAAATTGAAATATTTCTTTTTTCAGGAATTTGTGGGTAATCCAGTTCTATTTTCTGATGGAACAACCAGATTTGATATCGGACAGAGAAATCCCCAAACATGTTGGTTCCTTGCCATGTTAGCCAATTTATCAGAGGATCAGGAATTTTTCAGACGGGTAAGATTACGTATCGTATCTAAAACATTCAATGTGCCATCTCCTTAATATAACAGTAAAGGGAAGACAACTCAAAATATTCCAATATGGCTCAGCAAAACATCATGGTAGCAGTGGCTGAGCAAGGTCTACGTCCGAGAAGGACGGAGTGGGGGAAGGGCGAAATATCTGAGATTGCGGAACTTGCTTTCGGTGCCCCGTCACTGCATGGTAGTGTTATGTATTAATTTTCAATCTGATGTCAGTTGCATATGGTACATGTAGATGCCAATCGTAAAAAGCAATTGGAGAGTTCATCACTTCTGAGAGCTACCTCAATATACAGTGAACTGTTTGTGTTTCGAATCGTTTGGGTAGGGAATCAATATCTTATGAAAATCATAATAAGGTCTGTATTGTACGTACTATAGTTATGAGTATATACAATACAAAATATCTCCCATTACAGGTACTTACAGACGACTCCTATTATACCAGCCCAGATCGTTATGATGGTATATTTCATTGTAAACTATGGAAGTTTGGTCAATGGCGTGACGTATACACAGATGATTACCTTCCAGTAGGAATAGATCGTAACAAACGATTGTATATTTGGACGTCACACTCGGCTACAGACAACAATGAAATGTGGGTTTCATTGATGGAGAAAGCATTTGCAAGGTAAAGTACCCTACGACCTGCCAATGAAGAGATATAGTCGTCTTAATATTTTCGATACCACGATAATTCATCTACCGGAATATATCATCAGCCACATTGTAGTATATCGGTAACACTAAAACTTGCATAGAAGATTTTTTAAAATTTCGAACCGAGTTCTGTTAGCACCATTAATAGAAGTGTAAGGACAAAACTATTTATCTCCCTTATGTGATCTAAAATTGGATCATATTGTCATAGTTTAGCAAGATGTATTCCAAAATTGAAACGCCGAACTGTGGCATCACCAGATCTGAACAAATAAACCAAGTACTAACGATCCGAACAGCAAAACGAAATCCACACAACATTTTGGCGAAACATTTGTAGTAGCTAATAAACTGTTCGCATGAGGAATCATAAGTGAGTAAATATTTCATAATGAAAAGTGGTATCAGATGTCAATGTGATTTTGTGATGGGGACGTCAAATCCTAGTCAAAATCATTCATCTGAATGGCGCACTATAGTGTCCCAAATACACATACGAGTTCCTTTCTTTAATCTTTAATATATCCCATGTTAATTTTCAGATTCCATGGATCCTACGATGAAGTATATGGTGGACAGCCCGGTGATGCGTATCTAGCTTTAACTGGTGGTGTTTCAGAGAGAATTGTGTTTGAGGATCATCGTATAGAACCAATCAAATTATTCCACAGAATAAGAAATGCTTTGAGAACTGGAGCTCTAGTATCTTGTGGAGTCTGGGTAAGACATGCCGTTTTAAAGTTATATTTCCGAAACACTGGTAGGTTGTTTGATAGTATTGTCGTGAAAATTCAATTAAAGATGGGTTCCCTTATTTTCATTTATGAAAATGAAAATGCTAATACTTATATGAATAGAAAGTAGATGTGTTCTAATGACTTGAAAAATACCAGTTTGTCACACATAATTAATTCATAATTAGCTAAATTAGAAGGGAATTACCACCAGAATTCCAATGAGTGACTGATCAAGAAAGGTCAAAACGTCTTTTTTGTATATCCAGATTGTACATACACGGACATTTATGATTGGTTAAAACTCTTAATTATAAGCCATAAGAACATAATGATATGATTAACGATACATGATAATTCATTAGAAACACCAATTAATCAAAAGGTTTACTTAATTTGACACTTAAAAAATACGGAAACTCATCTTTAAGTGCAGGGTTCAATTTCTATAGGTTAAGTTGCTGCCAAAATCTTGACAAAAACTTGAATACCCTGTTGATTGCAATTGCAATCAATATACCTTATACCTCAATCAGTGGTCTAAAAATCAAAAGACCCGCGGTACAACAGTGTTGGCTGGTACTAACATATATTGCAATTGGTATTCTTATTTCTAGGAAGATTACAGAGACGTCAATGGGTTAATTGGACAACATGCTTATTCATTGAACTCAACAACTATGGTTAGTAATTCGAGCGTACCTCTCTCCACAAGTCTCTGATATAATAAACCAAGAAGGAAACTATCATTAATTTCTTTTAAAAAACATCCAGGAAATGCCCAAAATCTTCTACTTCTACTTTTAACAGTACGGTCCGACAAACAGGTGTAAACGGTAGTAATATTAAATTAAAACATACGTCAATTTCATTATTCTCAGCTAGTTGGGCATGATACTATGGGTAGGTGTAAAAATATAATTCTTTCTTTATGTATGAGCTTTTCGAGCTTGCATGTTATATTAAAATCATTCATAGCTTGAAATAGAATTTCAATGATTTCTACCATGTTTCAGGTTGAAACCAGGCATGGTGACCGAGTATGTCTATTAAGAGTCAGAAATCCTTGGGGTAGAGTTGAATGGAGGGGAGACTGGAGTGATACGTGAGTGAAAATCAATTTAAATCATATTATTGTTTGTTTTATTAATGCCGTAATATACCACTTCATGTACCTGTGCTGTAAATGGTTTCGATCAGTAACTTAAATGATATGAGAAATGACACATAGAATTCAATGATTATTAAAGTAATGCTGGGATAAATTCTATCTTAAATACAACCCGGAATTCGGCATGTTTTTATAGACTTATGATCGCTTGCTGACCTCATGATAACACGAGTAAACCGATACACAAGTCCTTTTTAAAAATTGTATCACTTCCACAAAATGGTCTGTTTTGTTCAATGAGTCGCCCAAGACTAAGGCATTAATCCTTATTACGATGCAGTCGGATTGGAGTGTATAATAATATAATAGATTTGACAGGGGTTCGACCCAACTCTTCATTGCAGGAGTCGCAAATGGGACGATTTAATAGATGGTGCCAGAATTCCAGATCATGCAGAAGATGGCGAATTCTGGATTTCCATTGGAGATTTTCTGAGATATTTCTTTCAACTGACCATTTGCTCCATAACACCGGATGTTGATGTCGATGGTAGACGAGATGATTTAAGTGAGTATATTAGTTATGAAAAAGTCCTGTGATCTATTTGAATGTGCATACGAGAATCACACTGTAGTTGACATCCCCTCAATCAAAAGCCATTTTGTTCCTTTAATTGACGTTTGTTGGTATTCTGATCATCGCTCCGTTCCAATTCATCGACGTCCGTGGTTTCGGAAATCCCAGATATGATTGTCAGATGGAGCATCAAACCAAAAGAACATCAAATGTTGAACAGAATGGTGCAAATGGTGGTATCAGTGCCCCATATGCATACAACAAAACTACCTCTTGTCCTTCTTGAATCAGTGTCATGCTTCATTAGCTTTTGAATGATTTATGCTTTTGGTTTCCTAGATTATATTACATTTATATATGGTGAATGGCGAGGGCGCACTGCAGCAGGAGCCAGGAATTTCCGGGCAAACCCCACCTTTACTTTTACCATTCCTGATAAAAACCCAAGAAGAGACGATCAGACGCCCATAGTTGTTCAACTTATACAGGATATTGAATCTAGAAAGGGCCACACTCCGAGTATTAATTGTTATTTAATGAAGGTATGAAAGCTTTGTCAACAATTATTCTCTCTAGATGTCGGTGTGGGGTTCAGAAAATACCAGACATCACGTTTTGAGGCAATGTGTGGGTATTTTCGACGATCCATACACCCCATCTTTATTCATTAAGCTGCAAAACTGGAATAGTTAACTCGTACATGATGATAGCCGGCTGGAAGGTTTTATCTGTCATTATTTGCATATTTCAAATGTTGCCCTATATTTGGAATCACATAGATAATGTGAAAGCTTCATGTGTTGGGAATTCTGATGATGTTATTTTACCGACATTATGCTGAGATATAGATTGAGGGAGGTAGTCATACTTGTTTGTATTGGATTTTGTAGGTAACGAGAAGAAACCGTGTGGAGATTGCTCCTTTAAACCCCTCACCATATATCAACAGTCAACAGATTGCTCAAAGATATATGTTAGAACCAGGGACCTACTCACTCATTCCATCCACATATGATCCTCACCAAGAGAAGGATTTCCTCATCAGGATATTTTCATCATCGGTTTTAACAGACGTACGGTAAGTTGATCGATTAAGGGGGTATATCCACATATTCGGACAATGTAACTGCATGTACAACAACGTCTGATGAAATTGTTGGAATCATTGTCTTCATCATTGAAGAAACGTACTGAAAGAGGCTTATACTTATGTAAATGCAGACTCGCCCTCTGCGATACATGCCCGTCATTCAAATACGGTTACCTAATTATCGATCTTTGGATAAAATTAAAAAGAAAAAGAGTTAAAAGTTATTGACTATAGCCAAACCATATCTGGCATGCTAATTTTACAGAAAGAATAACGGAGAAACGTTCTCTGTCTGTAAGTTCGTTGACAGTAATCTTTGTTATCACGATTTTGTTATTTCTAGGAGAGTGTAGCTGATGTAAGGGAATTTCTCTACAAACAGACTCATGACGCCTCTGGCTAGAATATTAAAACATAAAAATTGGCTCAATTAAAGACACTAAATATAGTTGGAAGTTGCATTGCTTTAAAGTGCAGATTTGATATGCATATTGACAGGAGAGTGTCCATCGGATCAAGTTAGTTCTTCTGCCCATCGGATCAAGTTAATGCTTCTGTTCATCGGATCAAGTTAGTACTTCTGTCCATCGGATCAAGTTAATGCTTCTGTTCATCGGATCAAGTTAGTACTTCTGTCCATCGGATCAAGTTAGTGCTTCTGTACATCGGATCAAGTTAGTGCTTCTGTACATCGGGTCAAGTTAGTGCTTCTGTAAACCTGATCAAGTTAATGCTTCTGTCCGCATCGGATCAAGTTAATGCTTCTGTCCATCTGATCAAGTTAGTGCTTCTCTCCATCTGATCAAGTTAGTGCTTCTTCCATCTGATCAAGTTAGTGCTTCTTCCATCGGATCAAGTTAGTGCTAGTTAATGTTAGTTAAGATCTTACCATATAGTGCTAATAAGCTATTTTGTGCGAGATCATTTTCCTTCTTGAAATAGTTCCTAGATATAATGTGTTATATTCAAATTGTATACATTGTATATAATTAAGTTTTTTCATATTCAATCAATATTATTTGTATAACTACACATATTCTGTTATGTATGTTTATAGAGGTTTAATATTGTTATCTTTATAAAATATATATATATTTGCGTATTGTGTTATGTTTTTCATTTTTTAATATTATGAAACGTATAGTATATACTGTGTCGGACAGTCTATTACCTGTTTGAATTCTACAAGAAATCTTGTGTAAAGGAGCTGGTGCACGAACAATCTCGAATCTTGAGTGAAATCGCGCGTGTGCCCGTGCTTTCGGTACAAGGTTATCTCGTTGCCGACAGGATTTATAATATCAATAATTATAATTAATGATTGATAATTATCTCCGGTAGTTTTATTTTTTTTCTCTCTTGATAAGACTTAAGTCGGCGACAAAAATCGAATGGGAATAGTGTTAACTGCGACTTTCTGTATGGTTCTTCACATTACAGATCTATATTAATGCGCCACTAAACTTTCAATCCATGAAAGCTCATCTGATGCTGAAAATGCAATTCAATAGAGTTTTGCGTTGTAATGTATAGGCTAATAGAAACACCATAAAGTATGCAAAGAGATGAAAAAAAAAATACCCGTAGTAAGCGACGTAAGCATAATTATACGTTTTCGATTTCCAACTGACGAGGATCTTAAATGTGTCCATCCTGCAACACATTGACTCTCGGTTTCTTGTCTCATTCGAACGATTAGACGCTCTTTCCATACAGACATCACTGACACCATCGGTTTGGTGTGGGTTTGTACCGTGGACTTTCTTGTTAGCCAGAAAACGCCATTTAATTCTACAGAGACGTATTTTGTATCAAGCGCCCTCATCAATATAGCTGATCTGGAAATAGACTCGAACTTATAGATCCCTATTCTTACATATCAACACGTTTTTCAAGACAACATCACCACACTTAATACAAAAAAATATCTAAACACAAACACGTTTTACAAAACATCATCAGTTCAACCCTCACCAAATAATATCTAAACACAATATTTTCATTATAGAGAAGACTGTCGACCATATGAAATTATGAAAGTAATAAAATTACATTTTCTTGTGGGTTATATCACATGCATGTACGGTGAATGGCGTGGACCCACAGCAGCTGGTAGGAGTAGTAAAAATTATTTAGATACAAATCCACGTTTTATTGTAACCATTCCAAGTGAAGACAGAGCTAAGGTTCCTATTGTAATACAGCTTATACAGACATAAAAAGAAACAAGAATAAAAGTGATGCAACATGTATTGATTTCAAGTTATTGCAGGTAATTTGGTGAAATAGGGAGACGAGGATGTTTACTAGTTTTATTCTTCTGATAAGTTGTAAAACCTTGTTCATTGGAATAGGTCTACATTCAGATACATGAAGAATATTATAGTATATATATTTATACACAAACCTAAATAACTGCACATCGTACATCTTTTAACGGAAAACATACAAACTATTTCTTATATTATATATTAAAATTATCCTTGTAGAATCACTCATAAATAAAAGAGACAAATTTCTATCTAAAGGCATGTATCAATCTATATTTTGCCAAGATGCACAGTTCATCTTGAACTTCATATTGATATATATGATATATGTAAAACTATGAATCCCATCTACAAGTCACCGCGTTCAAAGAACAGACAGATTGCCAAAAGGTATAAGTTGACACCTAGCACATATCTAATTGTACCTTTTACTAAGAGAGATAAAGTTGAGAAAGATTTTCTGATAAGGATATTTTTAGAATCGAGATTAGAGATTGAAGGTTGGTATGCTACACTTTTTTCCTTCCCAAAGTATATCTCACGAAGTTTGGTCTAGGTAACAATTTTACTACCTATATGAACCCAAAGATGAATGCACATTTAGTAAAGGCGTACTAGCTGAAATTATTCAGAATTTGGTATGTTTTAATAACCACTAAAATACTAATTGAATGCTTACTTTCATCATTAAGTTTTCAAAAGACGAAATGCAGTTTACATTACTGTTATGCATTAGATACCCATCCGAAAAAATTGCGCTATGCAGGGTCTTGGTACTTAGGAGGCTTCACGGACCCTCAACTGCCCCACACTATTGGACGTTTGTCCCTCTACCTAGCTACGAGCCTGGTTCTTAGACAACGGATATTCAAGTCACATTTAAATGATTGTTAAATTATTAATTTTGTGGGGACTCTAAATTTTATTTCTTTTCAGATCTTTGATAGATATCGAAATAAAGATAGAGATCAACTAGCATATTATGGTGTATCTATTATACAGGTTATTTAGAAATTGTGACTGACTCCAGAAGATTATGACAGACTTTTGCAATTATAGCTAAAATATTTCAATTTTTAGTTAAAAAAATGTAACGGATTTGTTCAACTGCTATGCAAATATATCAATGTGCTTTTCAGTTATTAACTATATAATTGTATGTATATACATATATATTTCAGAACATACTTGAACATACTAACTGTTCAATAAAATAACTGATATGCAATTTATTTTTGATGTTAAAAGGCACTATTAGTCTAATACTACATATTCCATGCCTGATAAAAGCTTGATTGTTGATTCAAAATCAGTAAAGGACACCTTCTCTTTAGGACCCTTACACTTAATTTTAAAAAGTTTTAAGTAGTGAGCACCATGTTTTTTTATACAATTATTTGCATAAGGAATTTAAAGTAGTTAAAAAAACCACGACTGTTGAATAAAATACGACTGACGATTTCGACTAAATGTGACGACTTCGGGGCCTAATTTCATTCCTGTATAACATTAATTTTGTAAGTTATATATTTATTGTTTAATAAGAAACTCGTTGAATATATGATTTCTTCCCAATTGTATAAGTTTAAAATGTGTTTCCAGCAGAAATTACGTTGAATATTCTACTGCTTCTGTTTTTAATTATTTAAGGAGCTTTCTGATTTTTTTATTGGTCGGAAAATTTGTTTTCTCAAGTATGAAAACTATACACCAAAATTAAATTAAAACAATTCCAGATAGATTAAGTACATATTTAGTAGTTAGTAGCATATTTTACAAAGTTTCCGGTATATTGAACGATACAGATACAAGGCCTGATATCAATTATGAGTTCTTTGAATAATATCTGTTAATGGTATCTCGTGTTTATATTTTGAATAGTTTCTAAGTGTTTACAAAGATCTTTTTTACTCGACTATAATAAATGTTTAATTACTTACATGGTACATAAATTCAAACTTCTTTGTTTTATTGGTTACATTTGATTTGTTAAACGTCTTTATTATAAACAACATTAATTTACCAAATAAACAGTGTTATATATATAGTCTTTTATATTTTCGCTCTACAATTGATATATTTAGCACTATTTTAACAGTGATATTTCTATATTGCTCTACAATTGATGTATTGAGCACTATTTTAACAGTTGTATTTCTATAGCGCTCTACAATTGATGTATTGAGTACTATTTTAACAGTGGTATTTCTATATCGCTCTACAATTGATGTATTGAGTACTATTTTAACAGTGGTATTTCAATATCACTCTACAATTGATGTATTGAGCACTATTTTAACAGTGGTATTTCTATATTACTCTACAATTGATGTATTGAGTACTATTTTAACTACGGTATTTCTATATCGCTTGACAATTGATGTATTGAGTACTATTTTAACAGTGATATTTCTATATCGCTCTACAATTGATGTATTGAGTACTATTTTAACAGTGGTATTTCTATATCGCTCTACAATTGGTGTATTGAGCACTATTTTAACAGTGATATTTCTATATTGCTCTACAATTGATGAATTGGGCACTATTTCAACAGTGGTATTTCTATATATCGCTCTATAATGGATGTATTGAGTACTATTTTAACAGTGGTATTTCTATATAGCTCTGCAATTGATGAATTAGGCACTTAACAGTGGTATTTCTATATCGCTCTACAATTGATGTATTGAGCACTATTTTAACAGTGGTATTTCTATATCGCTCTACAATTGATGAATTAGGAACTATTTTAACAGCAGACCCTCCCTTCCCCGAATTCAAATATGAACGTAGCACGATACGATGTGACTAAAACAGCAGTTTTATCAGATAGGAAATTCAAATTAAGTATCTTTCATTTCAAGAATAAAATAAAAACTAATAATGATTGATCACAGTAAATGTAAACGTTTAATAATTCTCAGTGGAATAAATTAAAATTATTTTAAATCACGAAGTCTTGTGGAATTCTATCGAGAATAGATTTCTAACATAAAAAAATTGTCCATGTCAACTTATTATTTTAACTATGTATTTAAATTGTCCATATGACAAGTATATATTGCGTGTTCTCCCTACTTACTGCCACGTTGTACTTAGACCACTACAAAATTGTGCACTAGAGATTGTAAACGGAGCCAAAAGAGGGAGGGGACACCCGCTTGCAGCCCCTAAAGCAAGTTTGTCGGGCAAAAATCTTATTAAATAGGTTAGAAATTCGGGCAATCTCAGACATTTCGCACCCCCTCGGACGTAAACCTGGCTTCGCCACTGCGCACTGATCTACCTACTGGTCTATTTGTTCATAGTATATTGACTTTATATACACTAGGTATTGGTCAGGCTTTCATGCAACGAAATTTCAAGAAAAAGTAATAGAGCGTTGATTTTCGTACTTTCGTACTGCCCATCTAGCAGTATATGTTTCAAACACAAGGGAAACAACCCATGCATCACCATGTAGGATCATTTTAGAGTTTATGATGATTGTTTTAAAGATCAATATACCTTTATCTACTCGCTCAAAGCATAACTCTTGAATATACTTCCTCCAAGGTTAAGCAGATCGCAAGTAATCAGCTTGTGTTTTATTCTCGAAAACATAACTTAAAATGATTTTAATGTACAAGACTGGAATTTCCAGTCTTCTGATAAATCAATTAAAGTCAATTATAAATTTCAAATCATCTGTCTCATTACTGTATTTTTTAATATATGAATTTAATCTAAGTTTTTGAAGAAAAATACCTCCGTTTCGATTCCAGATTGTATGTCTGGGTCTTATTCGTTCATTGAGAAGTTCACTGACATCAATGACTGTAAAAATGTATGAAAAGGAAACGGAAATGATCGAATGTCTGATGTAAAAAAACCTTTCGTCCGGTTTCCTTTCCATCTTAATGATCTACCGGAGATATAATTTTCTGTGGGCTGGCTACATTTACATGTCTCGGTTAGGTTTACTACCACCGTAAATACATGTATGTCTATGGAATTAGGAATAAAATAAGTTATTTTTCTTCTACATATTTTAAATAATCAAGAGTATAACCTAGTTGAAATCTATCTGATCCATATGCTAAATCACTGTCGAGATACCAACAAAACTTGACCTTTGTTGACATGTTCACTACTGTTAGGTTTTAGTGTGCTGTACATACTTTTCTGCACCATCTGGGCTAATGAAGACGGGTAACGCCATACAGGGTGCAATGAAGGAAATTTTGCCAGGACAGCGGCATTAGCCTGTTCTTTTTCAATTTTCAACTGTCAAGGTATCTTTAACGTGCACATCCTGCAGCACACAGGGCCTCGGATTGTCGTCCCATCCGAGCAACTAGACGCTTTTTCCATGTCAGTGCCTCTTACCTGCATCACTGACAGAGGGAATACGTGTTGAAAAATCCGAAGGTATTATCTCGACCTATGCCGGCACCTTCAGATTAGCGAGCAAGCGTCCGTCTAACTCACTGAGCCACCGCGGCTCCCGTCAGAAATGGAATTGTACGAATTACAACTCGAAACAACTAAGCAACCGACAAAATGGCTTTTTCCTCTGCATCACTGCGTTCAAGGTTGGCAAATGTTATTAAAATTTCCTGTTTAAACATTTGAACGAAAGTTTTTGAAATAAAAATGTTGCATTATCTGAGGGTTTTTAGTAGTGTGTGTCAATTCCCTAAGTACTGATATATATCTTTATGTTGGTGTATACACCACATTTAAAACAAGATTTTATTAGATATGTCTATTTTGATTAACTTATTACCATCTAAATATAACTCATTGATTTACGACTCGGGGTCCAGTTTCACCTTCATGCCACAGTGACCCATGTCTCAAAGCATTAAAATCCAACAATCAAAGATGAATCGCTCACTCAATACCAGGTACTGCGGGCACAGTGTCTGGACCGGAAGTGAAGATCTATCAATACAGTAATTATACCGTGACAGTGTGACCATGTTGCTATACTATAACAATATGACACCTCAAGCCATTTTGTAATTATCTGACAAAGTACACCGTATCATATAAATCTCCGGGAGAAAGGTGGCAAACTTACAAGACGGAGCAGAAGAAGTCAACCTTTGGCCTCCACAAATTGAATTGTATCCAGAGTAGAGTGATATCTGGTGGCTGTATAAGCATTGAAACGGAGATCAATGATCCAGTCCACACACTGCTTAGCGTAGTTATCCACCGCGGTATAGGTTAAATATCAATAATTCTTTCCTGTATCACTTATCACACAAACCATGTCTTTGTTTAGGGAAGCGAAATGTATTGGAATTATGCTGATAAGACACTCTATTTCATCACGTGACTGTCAGAAACACACACAATACAATCAGACATAATTGAACACATGTCGTACTATAACGCGATTCAGCTTTATTACCGCTATAATCTTCACTCACTTCCGGGACATATATAGCATCAGCTCCTGAAAAGATAAAAAAAAAGTCTTCTCTTATTGCGTTGGAGTATTTTCAAAGGATGATAAAGTAAAAGTGTGAAAGGACGAGGTACGGTTTCTTGTTGTTTTTGATGCGAGAGGCGGGACATCGCTCCAAGCTTACTTCCACCTTCACGCATCTGGGACAGAAAGTAGGACGAATACTAAGTTAATGTCTATCGATATAGTTGATCAGGTCGTGAAAAGTCAACAAAAGATAGAGTACTTAAGAGACCACAAATCTCACTTCCGTTTCCACCATTCATTACAGAAGTGTTAATATACATTTTAACACCATTTCACTCATAAATTAATGAAGGTTTATAGCACTTAAGGTGTTTAACACGATCTTAAACTATCTAGGTTGGTCTCTATGGGGGATAGATTTCCAACTACTAGTACTACTGGACTAAACTCCTAAATACCTGCATTGGAAATACGTAAAGGGCGTTTCTATGTAATACTAAGAAGAGGGGGGGGGGGCGAGTAAGGGCTTCAAAATTGGCAAGAGAGGCTCGCTGGCAATTCTTATGTAAAGGAAATACAAAAACTGGGAACGTGGAGGTCCAAAGCTTGACAAGTGTCAATTTGGTGGGGGGTGGGAGGGGGGAGGGGGGATAGGTCATATCTTTAGACATGCTTATTAACAACGAAAGAATGAAATACTGAAAAAAGTAAACATACATACCTCTTTTCACATTAGGTGAAATATCTGAAAATATATTAATGCCTATAACAATCGTTCATAACATTTCTTAACAAGTTTTTAATGAGCGCTAAGAATGTTATATTAAAATTACATTCGTATATTATGGTGAGACACCACTTATTACTTTCTTTTGATAACCCAATCAGCATTTAGAAATATAAAACAACCTGATGAGAATCACGATATGAAAAAGTTTCTTTCAAAATTAGTTCTGAACCAAGGACACAATTTAGATTATATTAGTACATATCGTCTTTTCTTTCTATTGCTTCAATAAGCTTTAGACTATCTGCTTTAACAGCGTATTTGCATTATGGCCCCACTTATAACTGTGCATAATAACTGTAAATTATTAGTAAGGCTGCTATATGATATGTATCAGAAGTACCTTTTAGTATGGTGATATTGATGCTGTCAACTTCTGCAAGAGAACTTTGGCATATATACACTCCACTGTCCGCCATCTTGGATGTATTAACACTTAAAACACTAACTAAAGTCTTGGATCCGAGGGATCTGTAGTTCGTTACTACCACGTGATTAAAATATGATGAATTGATTGGTTGGTCGTCTTTCAACCACGTGACGTCATCTGGTATCTTCTTTTTTCCTGTTGTATTGCACACTATTTTAAGCTCTTGCCCTTCTTGGACACATTTTCTCCCTTTTACTACAGTCGCTGGAAATACCAAAAATGTATATAATCAGTATCAGTAAGTCACCCCTAAAATGGATGTTAATCAAATCACAAACAAATCATGATATCCGCTACTACACTTTGTTTTCATAAAATACGATTGAACATAACTTGCATTTGATGGCAATTTCCAAATATCATACAAACTAGTAGAAAATTAATCATAGCATAGTGTCATCTCAATCACAGCTTCCTGGATTAATATGCCCTAAGCTCACGTGATTGCGGTGAATCAGTTCTCCATACATCAGAATTCATACCTTGAACATGAAGAGTTACATGGCGGACATACTTCTCTACTGACGTGATCTGGCATTCATAGAGACCATCATGATCTGGTCTAACATGTTTGATTAACAAGTCCCAATCTGTTATATCACCAAGCCGTCTGTGCTCTATCTGGATATCAACGTCTTTTACCCATGTTAATGTACCAATAGTCAGAAAATGGTCGTTGTCCAGTCTTCTCCATGCTACCTGAAATATGGATACAGGATACAAACCAAAGGGATAGAGGCAAATCTTTCCCTATGCTTATTAATAAGATAATGCTGCAACACCCCATACCGCTTCTCCCCCGGTAGAAACGACACTTGTACCACTGCAACATAAGGGTAAAGCATTTTACCTTTGACTTACCTGTTTGGTACCAAGATGTTGTACTGTACATGGTAATATAGCCAGGCTACCCTCTCTGACAGTAATGTTAGTTACAGAATTCAGGAACTGAGGTTCTGGGTAATCCATTGGTAAAGATGTTTTTTCGTCTGTAATATTTCAAAAAAGTAGTCTGCTGAGGCTTCTCGTGTATCAAGGAATCTAAATAGTGTGTATCCTGCGGAAGATTTCATTTTCAGATCAGTGGCAATACTGCCATGATGAGATCGTAGTCTCATTTCTAAGGATGAATTGTTAATTTTACTTGAAAAGTATTTCAAAGGGGTTTTTCCAAGAGGTAACAGGTACTCGGAATGGTGCATTGAAAGCTATATGTGTTCAAGATAGAAATACAAAAGCCTCTGATGTATCGGAAATCGTTTACTATCTGTTATGGGTGAAATGCAGTATGCAAGTAAGAATTTTTCGACCTGCATTCTATGTGGTTAATTATAACATTATAAAACTCTTATGTCGTTAGTAGTACATACTGATGAGAATGTCAATCTGGAAAACAATCAGAGAGAATGGCAATATCTCTGACTAGACATATAATTACTCAAATAGTCGGACTAATCGTCCCACCACAGTTCCGAATCTTTCCTTTACATGATATCCCATTGTCTCGCCTCCCTCGCTTGTGTGACTAAACCACATCAACAGCTCTCGACTAAATCTGGATGCATTGCTTGATTAACCTGTATTTTTATACATAGACGGCACACTTGTACTTGAAATCTTAATGTGGAGGATATGATCCAATCAAATAGGCCTATAATTGTTTTACTGAATGATTCATGTAACAAAGGAAAGGGGACAATGACATACAAGGTAATCTATCACACTTGTTGAATAACAAACCGGACAGACACATTTATCATATCCTTAATAAGGGCGCAGACTGGTCGAAGGAGCTCGCAGATTTAGAAGTTCCAGCTTCCTGGTTTCCTTCTAGCATTGATCAGGATACAAATTCCCAAAATTGGTAATGAAGAAACCAAAATGAGGAGACAAAATGGCTTGGAAAGATGTGATCCATTGAAACTGGTGAATATATATCTCATATAACTCAGAAAAGTCACGAAAATACTATAATGGTCTCAAAAGGATCATGATGCTGCATGCAATTTCAGATGTTAATGATCAGTAGATGCCAAGCCATATAAAAATATATTTTGTCTACAAACCATATATTACAAAAAGAATTATTGTGTTCAATCTCCCTTTTAAAATAAATTGTTTTTCGGTATTTATAGAAACCTAAATATCATTAGTAGTTTTATTGTGAAAGTGGAATGGAAATTGGGGTGACGTTTAAGGTGAAAGATTCCACGAAAAATCATTTCAATTGTCTTCGAAATCAATCAGATTATTCAAAGAAAAAACTGGAAGTCAATCTAAATTTGGAAGCAATTTCAGGCTGATTCTTATCGTTTGATGGACTGGTGTCAGGAAAGACAACGCCAAATTAAACTGTACAAGATTTCTAGGAGAAAAACTAATTTCTAGAAGATTAAAAAAGACAATTGTTTTGATATCGTCTAGTGAATTGTGTAAGAGGTTGAATTAAATCAAGTCGGAGTTTATAATGTGTATGTCATTATAAGAGATGCTTTCAGTGGGCAATAAAGAACAGGATTGAAATGGATGAATGGAAAAAATGGAGTCAATTTAAGAGTTTTATGTTCTATTTTTCTTCACCTAACTGGGCTAATGAAAACAGGCAATGCCATTCGGTGTGCAGTGAGGGAATGAAATTCAATGCAGTAGTGCTGTTTGGTTTCAAAGGTTTTTGATATGCAAAATGTGGAACAGGCAACGATCTACATTCAACCTGATTCACTGACAATGGTAAACTATGTTCTCAAGGAACGGGTATCAATCGCTAACAATTTAAAGATTAATTAACGAATTTTTGAAATAAAACCATTCCGCCCACATTTTCCTGAAAGTGTGATTTCCGAAATAGAATTTTGATTAGAAATATTCGACTCCACTTGAAAATATTAAATTAAGTCTTCTACCGGTACTGAAAGAAATCCATCACCCCAGGGAGTTCGAAGTCATTAGGAAAAACAGTTTTAACTGATTCTTAATTTTCTCTCTCTTAAATAGAAATAAGACGAATAGGGACTTTCAGCTGTACACTCAATGTTGGTAAGAAATTCGATTTTCATCTTGATAGTACTTACTATTTTTGCTAACATGATGAAGTGAAAATGTGAACTTCGGCACCGATGTTTAACAAAATTTTTCGTTCCATTGTTTTCCCTATCCCACTAGTAGCAAAAGCTTAGTAAAATAACTCCATTAATGTCAGATTAAAACAGATGAAGACAAATACCCAAAAGGCGCAGACCGTTATTCTAATTTAGTAGAGCACACGAAAACGATGGCCTGATGAAGATTTCGTATCGTATCAGTTTGAAGTGCTCGAAAAGAAATTGAACTGAATGAACATTTTCAAGAAATGTGGGTTCTGAGTACGATCTACTAACACAGACGTGGGATGTAACTGAGGTTAGTTTTAATTGTAGCACTATAGATCTTTTATGAAGTAATCTTGAATTGGAAGGCTTATAAACCGTTTATACACTACTAAAATATACGACATACCTCATCTCAATAACACTTTATCTATCTACGTCTGCTTACAGAAGACGTATCGATCACACGATACACATAAAATGTTGACGTAGTAAACAATTAACCCAGTGTTTGGTATTTAAAATGCTATTGTGAGTTTTTACAGCATTGAGGGATTATTTACTTCAAGTAAATTCTAATCTTTCCAGCTAATTTCCAAGACGTTTCACTGTGTCAAAGGCTGAGACCTGCAGATCGTGGAATATCAATTCCAGCGTAGTATTTACCGAGATGAAGAATTCCTTTCAAGAGTATCTGATTGCAATCTATCTGCGAGATATTTTATTAGGATGAAGTAATAGGAGCTGACCCTAGAAGAATGCTTTGTTAAAACATCGAGGCTAGTCGAGACAGTCAATGTTTGGCTTGGCTATGATGTTTCGGTAATACATGCTGGCCAATTTTATACCATGAAAAATTGTTCTTAATGGAACTATTACAGACCACAACAATTGGTTTACAGTCACGATTTTTTCTAAATCAGAACTGCTTGTATTATAGTGTTGATCAAAGAGTCAAGGGCATATTGAAGAGAAACTGTGCCATTAGATAAATGATGAAACTATCAAACTGCTATCATTTGACTCGAATATTAAAAATTTGTGGTGAAAAATTACAATATCATTTTGAAAAGGGAATCAAATCACCCACCTATCACGATTTGCTTAATCAGAAGCAAAGATTGGAAAATTTCTCATACAGCGTGCTCAGTGAATTAACTATATTTCAGTCTATTTAAGATTATCGGGTAACCTACTACTGCTGCTCGTATTGTCCTATCCATAAACCAAGTACTAAACGAAACCGGAAATCCAAAAAACATCAAAATGGCGATGAGATCCAATCATCATAATTTGATTTTTTTTTGAGAATTAATAAGATTTCAGATCTTGTTTGGAAACTTGAATAGTACAATGTCATAGCAATAGGATTCCATAAATTACTTCTACTATATGATATAGATTCAAGATTCAAACACAGAGTCGAATATCGGAGGACGATTTGTTAAAAGCTTTGATCAGTAGTCATTTCTTTAAGGGTAGGTTGTTGCCAATAAATTGAATTGACTTGATTCGTCTTGATTTGAAATATAAAAGGATATGCAAGAGTTAAACTTACTTATAGTGTCATGCAGTTTCAGAGAACTCATCGTCGTGATCCAAGGCACTATCATCACTATCAGTACAAATTCCATCTTCGACTTTTAATGTTTGTCATTTTTCACATTCGTAACTTAAGTCGCAATACAATTATCTTTTTAAATTAAGCTTCTACACCACAAGTCAAATATCATACAAGTAGCTATACCATTAATATATCATGTTTGTCACGTTTTCCAGTAGCTCGTAACTAGAAATTGTAAACAGAAAAATTAAAACACAAATACTTATTTTCCCGACTTTCGGACACAATGATGAAAGCAACTTTACACAACAAAAATGTCTATTGTGTACAAACGAAAATATACTGACACAACTATATATAACAACAAACGCCTGTGAGGGTTTGGGCGACGTTTCGACTTGTTCCCCTATTGGCCTTCAGCACACAGTGAAATTGAAAGGTATAGACACTTTGTGTCTGCGAAGGAGGGAGGAAATCAGTCGAAACGATGCACAAATCTACAGTTTTGTTAGTAACATTAACAAATTCAAAATAACTGTAACAGACTTCATAATCCATGTACACGTAATTTTCCCGAATTTGAATTCATGCTGTTTCGACCAAACTGTTTCAATTGCACTCAAATTAGTAAAGTTGTTTCGATTTTAACAGAGACATTCAGATATTGTTGCCAGGTGTATTTCAGGACACAAACCTTTCTTAAAGCCCTTCCTTCTTGTTTTGGAACACAATGACAATACTGGAAGTTTTTCGTCTTTGTAAGAAAACGTCACCAACTAGTTTTTCCACCATATAAAAAATCACACCTTTGAAAGAAGAAGGAAATTGTAAACGAGATTGTAATTGTACAGGTAAAGACTGGGTCGATACTGGTGAGACGGATTTACCCTAGTTACACTTTTTGCATTTGTTAACCAGTCTGACTGAATTGAAAAATGTTCTCTTCGTTAGTTTAATGTTGTAATTGTTGATATTTTTTTGAAAATGCCAAAGTTTTGCAGTCAAGTCTCTCATTGCCAGGGATTCGTGTAAAGCAGCTATGTAAAAAAAATCTCGTCAATTGAATAATCCGAACAACCGATGCAATTTGACGTGCAAGAAGACGCCCTGGAAATAGGGGTCAAGTAATGGTAATTATTATCATTTGCATATTGTCAATGGCTAAAATGTAGGAAAGTCAAGTCGATATGATAAGCAGTTGTGACAATCAAACCAACCGTCATGATATGTATTTGTTTAATTTTGCCAGCCTCCCAATTTCTCATTTTGCCTTGAGCTCAATCAGCCATTGTTTGGGCGCATTGTTTTTGTGTAGACTCGGTTAATTCATCTATTTATTCACCTGTAAAACACAACAAATAGATTGACCAAAAGATTACACTTTAGACTCGATCAAAGGGTGTTAAATTCTTCAAATTTTATTGTTACCGTTAGAACTCTTCGAGACGATGTGGTAAAATTCTTTCCAAGTTTTAAGATGTTTTTATCAGTCTATACAATAAACATTAGCCTTACATACCCTTAAAGTTATTTCATCTGAAAACCTTTTATCTTCAGGTAGTTATTTAGGTTATTCAATAAATTGCAGATCAGTAGCATTCTATTGTATTTCATTCGGTTTTCAGCGTGGAATGAAAACTATTTTTAAATGTTTTACGTACCACTTTTCTGCACCTTTTGATCTAATAAAGACGGGCAACACTATGTGTTTTACAATGGAGGAAATTTTGCCAGGAAAGGTCTATTATGGGATCGTTAGATAAAATAAACCGTAAAAATGCACAAGCAAGACAAGCATTGCTAGTCACAACCTCCTGCCTACATCACAACCAATGAAATAAAATTGAGATTTGCGTCCTACTTTTCTGCAATCTAAGATGGGGGATGCCATACGTTCTGAAATGAGGACCTAGGCATTGGATGAATGGAAATCTTGGTTGGACAATCGGAGCACTATTTCTAGCAATTGCAGGATCTAAACCGGAACATTGAGTGAGAAAGGAATAATTTTATTTATTGAGTCTGTGTAATTGATTAACTTAACAATTAATTCCAGCAAATATGCTTATAAATTGTCCTTGTGTTATTGTTTCATTATTTTCAGCTATTCGGTGAATTCAGGTGTATTGATACAAGCTGCACTGATGTTGACCTTGAAACTTGACCTTTGATTGAATTGTGGTAATTTATTTACAGTTAACTCTGATCTTTTGTTTTGAAGTTTGAAATGCCAACAAATTACAATAAGACCGCCGTCTTCACTAGGAGATTAAACAGGCTGTAGTTTGAAACCACTTTCACTCTGACACGAAATTAAACAAAGACCTGGCATTGGTCACCATATTAGTTTACTATCTGATCATCATATTTCACAAGTCGAAAGTTCACATTGATTTAGTGTATTCTACAAGAAGTTGTTCAAAGGTTCGAGGAAAGTTTGGTATTATCGTCATAATAGATAGTAATTTTTCGACATGTCTTTACCGGTCAATAAGGCAACCGGGAGCAAATTTCAGTGACGCTTTGGGTTAGCAGGCATTCTGTCCTTTTGTTGTCATATATCAAAAGCCAATGCTTTCGTGGTTCGGAACGGAAATACTAATGATAATAAAATCGCACATCAAGTTTTGACTGATAAGCATTATCAGAGGGTATTTTTGTGATAGACCAAATGCAAAATAATTTATATTCCCTAGAGCTCACTGTCTTTAACCATTATATTAATTAAACTGACACCGATTTGCAGAAAGCAGTTGTGGATCTTTAAAGCTTGTTCGTATGACTCGAGTTTCAACTGGAAAAGTCAAAGGATAGAACGACTAATATTACCTGAATAAAGCGAGGTAATCCTTGATAAAACTTTAGTTATAACCATTATTTATCCTGGACTATCAGTTGACCTGATCTTGTCTTTACAACCATACCAATAGTCTTTAAATCTCATCAATACAAATACTTTAACCTGTCCTGTTGATTTAGGCGACATGCCACCCAGGTCGCTCTAGTCATTGATGGCCAGGTATTGAGGAAAGGTGTAACCCTGTTATAACCTGCATTGAACCGGTAGTATCATCACGTTTCAAAAACATCACAGACTCACGATATCTTGATTGTAAATACATCTATCGTTAAAAAAGATTTCAATATCATGATCCGATTATAATAATGTCCTTTTATCACGAATATAGAGACAAAAGGTACCAAGACAGGTCATTAAAGATACTATCTCCATGTGAGGTTCAATGCTACGAATTGCTCCTTGAAAGATGACACCCACCTATTTGCTAATTTATTGTAAATTTGATTAAAACTAAAATACGCGAATTCTTCCACCCATAGAAGGTTTGCCATTTATGAGGTCTGGTAAGGTATTGCAACAATGCTTAGTGGAATGACTCAAAATATTTCGTCCTGATGTCCAAGATATACTTCGCTTTGATTAATAATATCTTGGCTTTTGGTATGGTAAAGGCAATATACATAGTAAATTATGTGTGACAAAACGCAAGTGAATACTAGTTCGTATGTTACCAGTTAACAATACAAGGGAGAAAACCAGTCATTAGTTTGAGAAGAAACACAAATCAAGTCAACAAGAATTTAATTCCTGACGAAAATTGGAACCAAGAAAACTAGGGCCAAGTATATTCCCTGATATTTTTCTTTGATCCGATAAACGCACACCATCTACATTAGCCAGTTTTTTTTTAGTTAATATTGATACAGGTAATGTAGAAATTGCGAGTGTTTTTTTTCTAACGAAGGAAGTAATGTCATAAAAATGTTATATAAAAACTTATATTATATATGTATTTCATTTATGACGTACACAATTTGTCCTAGAAATTGAAATTAAAAACCCATTATGATAAGAATGGTTTATCTGTATTAAATACACATGGTTCCAGATGTTCTCCTTGTCTTACACCAGCACCCTGCTATATACTACAGATCAAATTACCACATTCCCTCTACTACCAATATATAAAACACATGTTGGGCTGAGTTGGATTGGTTCTTATAGTTCAATTATAGTACCGGTACCGTGGTAGTAACCGTGACGTGCTGTTTAGTGTGTTACGATTGGATGAAATTACTGTTATTTAGATTATTTATAGACTCGTATTTTGATTGTTGTAGTCCGAATTTCAATATTGCTGTTTACTTGAATGGTCAGACTTGATTTGGCAAAAGAAAAAAACAGGAACCATAAAAAATCGGTTTTGTACAAATCAAATACTGTCAAGATACCGGTACATGTGCGTGGTGAAAAATAACCTTGGAGTGAAAATTAAAGGTGTAAAGAACAAATTGAAAGTGAATGGCTGTGAAAGATGACGTGTAAGGACTGTTTAAATCTAGCAGACGAACTTTTCTCTCAGAAAAATTTTAAAGAAGCAGCAAAAAACTATTCTGTGGCAATCGATGCACAATTTGGTAACGACTCGGAAATTTTCTTCAAGCGGTGTCAATGTTATTATGAGCTACATGTCTATGATAAGGCATTGAACGATGCTACCACATATATACACAAGAATCCAGATTCAGTGGTGGGATATCTGTGGAAAGGAAGATGTCTGACAAAATTGAGCAATTTCAAAGAAGCGTACATTGAGTATAAAAATGGACTGGAACTTGATCCTCAAAATGCCGAGCTAGCAGACGATTTACGGTGTCTGCAAGACGCCATAATGGCGGTATATCAAGACGAGGAGAAACGAGGTGAAAATACCTATGATGCTGTGCAGTTGTGCTCTCAGGAGCCCTACCCTGGGGACGACGAACTTGAGGGCATGGAGAGAGAGATTATGATGAAGTGGAAATTACATGAACCTATCCGTATTATTGAGAGTAAGTGAATTATGATTATTATATAATCCAATTATTAGAGAAATTTTCACGTAAAGCAACATGTACGTTGAAATACTGCCTTACATGAAACCAACGACCGTTTATACAAGCTTAAAGGGACAGATGCATCATTCTTTGACCAATCATACTTTCAGAAGGGGGATTTTTGGCTGACCCAATCAGAAATGGTGTTCACAGCTAACCGTCTAAATTTGAGCCTTCAAATCCATGTGTCGAGAATTATCCACATTTGAATGTTAAAATGGCGACTCGTCATTTTAAAATACAGTTTGAAGTATATTTAAAGGAATTTTCGTTCACATCTAGTACTTCTGAAGACGTAATCCAAGGCTAATATCAACCCCCAAAAAGGCATACCTGTCCCTTTAATCACAGTTTGTATTGACAACCTTTATGGTGTAATTGCAATGTTTTGTTTGATACCATTTTTGTTTTATCGCTACTCTTCTAAAGTCTAGACACATTATTCCACTTTTCAATATGAAAGGCTTCAATCTATGATTGATATACTTCTTACATGAAAAGTTCATTAGGTGCTACCAAAGTATTGACAATATGTTGTCTTGGATTTCGGGTTTGCGTTTTGGACCGTTAGTACATGGGTTGAAAATCTTTATATTAGTTCTTTCTTTCTACATACTTCTGTTATTTCAGACCCCTGTGATCTGGACAAAGCAGCTGATGAAATGGCGGAAGCTATTGAGGCAAAGGAACTGGACGATCTTGACAAAGCCTTGAACCACATAAACAGGTCTGCGTCTTATAACCCTTCCAACCAGTTTATGTTGTCAGAAAGAGCTGACATTCTTTACCAACTACAAGAGTACAAGGAAGCATTTAGGTGCTGTAATTCTATACCATACGAGTTTAGACCAGCTGAATTATGGACTTTGGGAGGTAAGCGATTCATAAGGTTTATTCTCAACCTACAACTAGTATTATAACATTCAGTTAAAATACATAATTAAAGCGTATGATATAAAGGGAGATAACTAAATATTTCGAGTTCAAATTTCATGGAATTCCACGAGAAATTGGAACATAGGAACTGAGGGATGAGTTTCAAATTTCCAATAGAGAAATTAGAGTATTTGGTATAATGGGTAAAAAGGTATATTGACAACTTCGTTTTAAGATTGAGAACCGAATAATGACCTAGGCAATAACAAGATTAACTTCTCTTTCAGGAAAAATTCTTATGGCTTTGGGTCTACCAGTTATGTCAGAGACTTGGTTAAGAATTGCAACCAGGATTTCGAAAGGCAGAGAATCAGAAGCGCCGATGCTTTTCCAGAAGATTCGAGTCAAACGACTCTACGAACCATTAGCTACTGGAACTAAAGCTACTGTTACATTTACTAAGTTTGGTAGAGCAGTGGTGGCCAGAGAACCTGTTCATGCTGGAGACATCATCATGGGTGATACTCCAGCAGTCTGTGCTCAAACCATAGACACACAGCATGTACCAACTTGTGGATACTGTGCTAGATCATTACTCCAACCAGAAGACATTCTAGGATCCAATTACCATGCAAATAACCTGATGAAGAAGGTGGTTCAGAAGTATTGGCCTAAGCGAGTTATTGTCCCGTGTCGATCATGTACCAGGCAGATCTATTGTAGTGACGAATGTCAGATAGAAGCTTGGGAACGGTACCACAGTCTCATCTGCCCTGGAGTCAACAAAGCTATGGAAAAATTATGGAAAATCTGTGATGATTATAAGAATTTAAAGGCAGGAGACTCTCGTGTTTACAAAGGATGGTGGAATGCCTCGTTCAGTCCTTTGATTATGGCAAGGATTTGGGCTATTATTGCAAGCAATGCCGTCAGATGTGGTAAAGTTGGTGGTAGAGAAAAGCCGTCTATTGAAGATTGGACAATGGCGAAAGCTCCGTTTCGAAGGCATGTGTAAATCGATATTATAAATTTTATATAAACATGATATTTTTGCATATAAATTCCAGTTAAACATTATTTCCTATGCGTCAAGTGGAATTTGTGCTACTTACGGAAAAACTCCTCCAAACATACAAAATAAACATATATGGAGTACCAAATGGGATGAAGAATTGAAAATATCAGTCGCAGAGCACCATCAGGTTTTCTTTCGTACAGACACCTCTCACAATACCAATTGTAGTGGCGCTATCTTGAATCGTCAATATATTCATTTAAATTGTTGTTCTTTTCTATTCCAGATTTATAGCCTATGGAGCCACAAGCAATGCTGATGTCATTCCCAATATGTTAGATTTGATGGTAGAGATTTTCAAAGATCTTGGTAATGGGTTATGTTACAATATTACCAAACGAGAATTTGACGGCCGATACTATCAAGCTACTTGTAATGTTCAAGCTTTCTCAGACCTGGCTAATCCTTATAGACTATTCCTTAGAAACATCAAAGATAAGCCAAATATGAAAAATTTGTTACACTCCTTACCACAAGATATCCCGGAGGCGGAGTTTGCTGGTATGTTTGCCCTGCATGCTTGTATGAATCATTCGTGTGCCAACAATGCGGAAGTGATGGACGGCGAGGTGAAAGGAAAGCCTGGGGTAGCTGTTCGAGCCAGGAGAGATATCAAAGTAGGTGAGGAAGTGTTCATTACATATATAAGTACAAACCTTCCACGGGCACAGAGACGTGCTTGGTTGTACAGAGCTTATAATTTCTGGTGTTACTGTGAACGGTGCGAGTTTGAAGGAGACGGACCCTATGTGTGTACCCAATGTAAGAAAGACGCTAAAGGACAGAAAGCTTTTCCAACTTGCAGTAAATGTAAGAAAGCTTGGTACTGCTCTACCGGATGCCAGAAGGTAGCATGGAAGAAAGGACATAAGAAAGTGTGTAGTATGTCTCATTCCGACACCTCTTCTTCCTCAGATCAGTATTTAGCCACTAAACAATAATACTTGGTACTTAAGCGCTACAAGTCATTATTGTTAGATGGTTAGTCAAAGTCTGGATCAAAACCTTAAACATACACGTTCAAAAAAGTAGAGGCGTTAACAGAATTGTTTAATCCAGACATGATTCAGCTAGCTCAACTCAAACCACCTTGTGATATTTTGTAATCATACCTGGATATGCACGCAAGTTCCTGAATGTTCGCGTGTAGAATTTTGAATTTTGCCAACATGTTTTGTTTAGCCTCACGTCTATCATCCATTGAGATTCCAAAAGATGCAGTACATAGGAAGAACAATGCCGTTCTTAATATGTGGGACATTTCTTTCCACCTCTGGTAATAGACAAGGCTGCTTTTGGGGGTTTGATCAAATGCATTTGACCTGATCAATTGTACCCTCCGTGACGAGAAAAAGAGGCGGTCCGTTCAATTTATCGTATGGACGACAATTATTTGCTCAAATGTTCCAATTGATCAGTGACAGCTTTGAGCGAAAAAGATAGACAATCACCAAGAAATATGTGAAAATTAAGTCAATCCGTTGAGATTTATGTAAACCGTGTTGTATTTTTAATTTATTCCACTATCCTGTATTTATTTCAACCCAATAAATTGTGATTTTAAAGAATTGGCGTTCATGGATGCAATCATAAATTCTATAACTAGAGTATTTTATGTTCACATGCGATCCTCGTACATTTTAGCCCCTTGGCGTCACATAGTGATCTTTTCTGAGTCTTATAGATCAATGGGAATCGGCAATATCATGCATCAATTTCTAGGAAATTACACCACGTTTTTGCTATAGTTTGCTATGATTTACAATAGAACGTAGGTTTTCAATCACAGGGACAGTCTCCAGGTGAGGATAGGCACTAGGCCATGAAATAAAACTATCCTACTACAATTTATACAACAACAACTCCTGACTACACTATACAGGTGCTTAGTCAACATCGTCTCCGAGTACTCGAAGACTTAGTTGCAACATTTTCTACACGATACTACACGCAACGGTGCCGGATATCAAATCCTAGTTCTCTTTCAATAGCTGACGACATGTATTCATGCAAAATACGACTTGGGAACACACAATTACAGGTAGAAAACCACCACAGAAGACAAAGTTGGCAGCCCCAGACAATTTCATTGCAATGAAAAAAATTCAAGTCTGTATCACCTGCAGTCTGCAAAAGACTAGGTATGGGTGGTCATAGCGATTACCATTCGTGTGTGGTTGCTAATAATGAAAGTGGTGACGAGTGCCGGACGCAATTCACAGCTCAGTTGATAGTTGCGTTCGGAACGCATGACCTCTATTCTGATTGGCAACTTTACGCAACTGGAAATCGCTATGGTAAGAGTACTCCTTATGCAATAAGCATTTTATAATATTTCACGAGTCAAATTACTACCTGGTGGTTACTGTATGTAGAAAGGGAAATAGGCTGTAGTCCGTAGTCCAATTTAGAAACAAAGACAAAAAGAATCACTTTTAAGCATGTATGTTATTCGTGGGTACATTGTATTCATAGCACTATAATAATATATGTTCAATTTTGTATTTATTAGAGAAGGAATATTCCTTGGGGATGGGGGCTATTTTTTTTACTCCTCTATGTCCATTAATCGTAGAAATCGCTCAATTGGCGTCTCATCGGTACTGTCCTGAAAAATATAAATGAGACAATAATATCTTTTGTTTTGAACTCTTTTGTGACTATGGTAACTTGTAAAACCCGCAATATAACATTCTTAATGTTTTGAAGACTTAAAGTAATATCAACTGCCGCTTGAAAATAGCCCAAACGCAAAGGACTATTTCAGTATCGTTTATAGCAATTATCAAAACATGTTCATGGACAAATGTTGTACTCTTCATGAAGCTACTAAATTACTTACACAAAATGGCTTAGTACCGGTGGTTTCCAGGCAGAATTTACCATGCAAGTCAGGAGAAGCATGGTATCCCATATACGCATTAGGTACTTCGTCTCCATTTGGACAAGTGTGCACTGGGAATTCACATGTATTAATTGAGCTGGTAAAATAAGCCACGGCTCTCATGTGGCTACATGCTATAGCCTTTGTCATTTCTGAAATGCCAAAATTTGTGAATATGAGTTACTAAGTGAATATACACGTCGGTGCATCGTCAACAGATTTGTATGCAACATTTGAGACCAGCAATCGTCGTGTACAGCATCAGCAGATAATATACGCCCACCGCCACATGTCTGAAAACAATCCTATCGAGAAGCACCAGATGTGGTCAACCCTCATCAAAATATATCTTTAAACTATGCCGACATTTAAATAGATCATGCGAGATTTGAGCCAGGACACGTGGTTACAGAGTGAATATAAAGTTGAGCGTTTCAATTAACGAGTTGATATATTCCTGTGTCCGTAACTGACATGAAACCTTTTCAAACCAAGAACAATACATAATGAGTATACTCACGTGCCATTTTGCCCCTCAATACGTCCTGGAAAAATCTAAAGTGTGCCATTGGGCAGTCTGGTTGATTACTTCCACCATTTGGGTAAAAATCAGCATCACCCACGGTTACTCCAGGCACATAACCAAAGGCTGAATATAAAACAACATTTTATGACTAAGAGTTGAAAATCGTAGTTGATCGTGTACTGTACACAAACCACTAGTACAGAGGGATGAAGCAAAATATTTTAATGCCCGAAGTTTAAGTGTCCACCACACGTTTAGACATAGAGAAATAGTAAAAATAACTTTCGGTTGCATATGGAAAGGTGACATAGCGACCAATTTGACATCTGTAGTTACATAAAAGATAGGTAATATACGCCCAATAGCAGGTAATATACACAAACTAGCAGCTTTCATTTTAAAAAAAATATTTGGCAGTACAGTAACAATTACCAGTATGAAATAGTCAACCTTCAGACTTCTTTTGAACTTTTTAAATATTTTTCGAGTTCATACTTCATTGATAACCAACACACCAAGTTACGTGATAAAAACTGAACGCATTTTCAAGAACAAGGGCAATAACTCGAAAAACCGTTCATCGAAAAATCGTCCAATTCGAACTCGCCTGCCATCTTATCCCAATGCTCACACCAAGTTTCATTACAATCAAATGAAAACTAGCCTATATTGTATAATGAAAAAATTCTTATGGATTACAATTACTAACTTTATTTGAGCGACGTTTCGACCAGTGTTCTCTAGTGCTTGATAAAGACCTTTACTAAATGCCATTCAAAGATCATAGCCTATATTGTGTTCACAAGCCAATTGTAGACAGACGGACGGACGGGCCGGCGGACCGGACGGAATGACGGATAGGGGCGACGACAATATACGACCACTTTATAATGTCGGCGTATAAAAAGTGCAAATGTAAGTTACATACACAATTCAAATAATGCACCATCGTCGGTATGAATTACATCAACAAAATCGGCATCACTCGCATCCAGTCGTTTCGATGTACCCTTTGTTGAAAATCCAAAACTTGCAGGATCCAAACCAGTTATTCTTCCAATATTTTCTGCAAACTGACCAACGTGTCCAGCAACATGAGCTCCAAGACTATGTCCAATCAAATGAAATTTCGATAAAGGAACCTCCCCTTCACTTGAGAGAATACCAATCAACTCGACTGTACTGTCCCCCGTATATTTGATGTTTCTTATGGCTGAAAAGTAGCAGCCATTCGCTCCTTTTTTCCAGTTAACAATTATAACATTCACTGCTTCAGACTGTCGAAAGAAAAAATTTTTCGACCATAAAATTTCACATTTATTTTCTAACCCATTATTTTTTTTATATATCATCTACACAATGACGGGGTATTACGAACTCAATTTATATGTACCTAGTTATGATTTAGACACTATTGCTGATAGCACACTTATAAGCCATATTTCTCTAGTCTTAAAGTCGAAGGCTCTCGGTTATATTCGCATTTACAAACTTACATAGCACAAATTATGTGTACGACCCTTAAAAAAAAAGGGATTTTTTTATGTATATCTGGGACACTGATAGCATCAACTTTCACAATTCAACGTTTCATTCAGACGTCTGTGGTTCCTGTAATTCACTAATCGCGATGGCCTTATGCAATTTGGTAATTAGTTACGTCACCAACCACTTAGTTTTAGGAATTGCAGGAACCACACACGTCTGATCGAAAATTGGAATAAGGAAAAATGAAATAATGCAAATGTACCCGATACACATATTTTTTTGTTGGAAAAACCCTCTATACTATCCCTTTAACCAATTTCTACAGATATATCCTATGATATTGATGATATAATGTAATATTATATCATCATGGGGACCCACTTTTGAATAATATTTAATTCATTATTTTCTCGGTCCTAGTTTCGACAACTAAGTAATACAATAAGACTTTGCACCTCTCTCTGATTACCCACCCACCTGATATTTAGGTTTCCTACTGAACAATGCAGAAGTTATGTCAATTGAACAATACGTACCAGCTTCAAGAGTTCATCTTTCATGGCCTGAATCCATCCACTCTTACCATTATCGCTGAAGCCATGGATCAGAAACAAGGTTTTGGCACCTTTGACAAATCCACTGTCGTCTATCGTTGAAAGATCTTCAGGGTCAAGTATCTCCTCTGCAGAACTGTCCTTGACGTACAACAAAAACTCCGTCGCTGGTTTAGACCAACTGCTAAAAAATCCTACGGATAAAGTGAAACGGATTGAAATTTCCAATTATAGGCCTAAATTGTTCACTTCAATTCATCAACTCAAAACATTGGAGGAGCCATTTAGTCAGCCCCGAAAGCATTATTTTCGGGCAAAAACTAGGTTCGAAATTCTGGCAAACTCAAGATATTTCGCCTCCCCCTCCCCTCAGACGTAAAACTTGCTCTGCCACCGAGTCGAATATTTTTTTGAGTTCTTTGAGTTGATATTTAACATATTGATTGAGCAAAAGTTTCCATCAATGCAAATGAAGGGACAGATTCTATTATTTCATTTCAAAGGCAACCCCCAAGTCACTTAGCATTTAGCACAAGATCATTTCTGCCTTGTTTGTTGGTAAGTTGTACATTAGCAAATTCGCAAATCTTTATGTCCACATATGTTTAACTTGAACTTTTTTCCAATATTCCATGATTTAGGATAATAAATAGGTACAAAATATATACAATGTACACAATTACCTTCCGATTTCTGAATACAGACCAATAAGACTACACCTATAAGACATTTCGCGGATACCATCTTCTCTTTATTACAAGACAACAGCACAGCTTACTAACTTCACCCGTGATACCGAGTATTAGCGAAATCTGACTTTTATAGTCTCTTATCATCCGGGGAAGTAGGGTGTATTCGATTGATGTTCTTGAATAAAGATACCATTGGGAGATTGGTAGAGGGGTTATATTGGCGAAAAACTGTTTCCAAACTGTCTTTATATTTCAGGAGGATAAAATTTTGTACTTATATAAACTACCAGTTTGTTTCACTGTTTCATAGTTATTTTTTTGCACATAAATGACATAAGCTTCAAACGCATCCAAAAGAGAAATAAGACGAGATGCACGTGCCATTGGTTAAATATGTTATGAGCTTTAGGTCATAAACGAATTGTTTAGGAAGTTGTATATTTTCGCTTTTACCATCCAAATCGGGGAAGATTATTGAATAAGAAAATGAACTGAAAACTTGCGACACTGATGCAAAAAAAAAACCGTTGGATTATCTTACTGAACAGTGCAATGTGGAATTAATACCAATACAAAATCGTGTTATTTCCCTTTGACTAATATTTCTTTAATATAATAATGCCTTTCGGCACAATCTCCAAATCCAGCAATATCTACAGTCTGACCACTATAATTTCATTATCCAATTTTTATAAGAGTTAAATTAAACAATGACTTTAATAAAACAGTACAGTATTGAAAGTCTTTAATTTGTTTTTGGTTACTGCCACTAATGAAAAACTCAACACAGAAAGTTTGAAAATGTGGATACATTTTTCGTGCAATTGTTGAGAGAGAAGTGACTTTCAATTAACTAAAGTTTTTCCAAAGTCATACATTTCGATGAACCTCATACTTTGGCAAAAGATTTTCAACTCAGAAATTGTAGTGTCCAAAGTGCCCGGGCGTAGCCGGTTAGACCAATGTCAATGTCTCTGACAGAATGATACAAAAATATAAGATATCGCCTAATGAGGCGACACACATGAGATGAATTATATATTATATAAGACAGGTGTTGCACTGACCTAGTCTATTTTTTATGTGTCATTGTCATGTCACATAAACATAATATCTAATTGACAGATCCATCATTATCAATAACCTGATTATTAATATATGAGTTTTATCCTTTTTACCTGTCACCACCTACTGGTAATTATTTTACATACACTCATGTAATAAACTTAAAAAAACAAAGATCATATTATATTATAGTAAACAAGAATTATAAGGGACGATGATGATTAATGATGATGGTGATGGTTGTGATGATGATGATGATGTTGGTGACTTATGATGATGATGATTATGAATATAATTACTTAAAAGACTCGTACCTAGTCTCTCGTTGCTAATCTGAGCTTGAAGGGCGACAATCGGCATTTGCGATCCTGGATATACATATAAATTGTCTTCAGAAGAGCTCAAACTTTACGAACATCTTACAATTCCTTCATTTAATTGTAATCGAGATGCGTCACAGTGGAAATGGAAATTCTGGAATTTAAGAATCGGATATCTGTTTCGTAGATTTTGCAGACATTATGAATTTATCTGTTATTAGGTCAATCTGAAACTTGATTTGGGATGATCACAAATTAGTTGGTGGATGTAATGTACGGAGGGTTGAGGACACATCTGGTTCCGTTTTGAGAGGTGTCTCATGCACAAGTGGATAAAATGTGTTTCATGTATAAGTGGTTGCCAGCTTGGTTATGAACCAGTTGTTGAGAACCAATTCCACATTTTAAAATTTTGCCGAACTCAGTATAGGCTTTATCTATTGCACAACTATTCCTAGCCCTAAAAACAAAGATTCCGAGAAAATGTATTGACTAGTCTTATTCGGATTGCGGTACAATAGGCCAAAAATCTGCAATAATTTTCTCACTTCCTGTAAAACTAAATGAACCCGAGCAAAATATTGCTACGAGGATTCGACAGCATGACATTAACCCGTATAGATCATTAACGTAAAGTTTCATTTCAATTCATTTTATATTCGCAATATACAGAATACCCAAATATAGCGCAGAATTTTATTTTGTTATTGCATCTATTTATGGCGATGTCCAATAACGTGCAGACGTACACATTTGTTACATTTCATTTCCATTGTGGGTCATTTACCGTTATTTTCTGATTTGTCTGCCAGTCTATTTAGATAACAAGAACTTCTCAATTGAAGGCTATTGAAGGTAATTTAGTAGATATTTAAGAGTATACGATAACATAGTAAGTAAATATATAGTCACTTGTCACGCAATGAATACATATTGGTGGTTATAGTCCGAAACTATTCTCTTATATTTGATTTATTTAAATTTATTGCAATTGTCTTTGCACTGACTGCCATCTAGTCTTCAAAAGCTATTTTCGCCAAGTAGCTTACAATGTCGCTAATAGCTATTCTTAACAGTCTTTGAAAATCGTCTGAAATTACCATGTATTGATATCTATTTCAACTGGAAGTTGTATTTGTAATTTGTAACATCTTACCACGTCTCTGATAGCTATTTTGCATAAAATATCTTATGAGCCGTCTGTTTAGAGAATCATCTGAAAGTGATTTTGCCAGAAGCAATATCTACAAATTGATAGACTTTAGGAAATAGAGAAGTATATCTTATAACTCATATTGTATACTCATGAATGGAGTGTTAACGGAAATTAAAAAAATACAGTAAGTTATATTATGACAACCTCGGGAACCTTCCAAGACATACTTTTTTTTATTTCATATTTAATTTCCTCACTTTGCTATTGATCTAGGCTACATGTATGATATCGATTACCATTTACTAGCTACATCCAGATTAAAAAACCTTCACCTTTATGAAAACTACAGGTAATACTGCCAGGTTAGTAAGCGTTTGCTTCGCAGGCGTATCAACCCACAGGAATAAATCTAACTTTTTTAATTTTAAGTTGAATTGACCATCACATATCGTATTTCCTATTAGGATCAGAGTATTCCAACAACATAAGTTATAGTAATTAATAGCATCGGAATCAGACGTTGGTAGACAGACAAATGTGCAACACATGCATTATACTCTTAAAGATAGAAAAAGTATAACACAGGAAAGACAAATGTATATTTATAACATTGAAAGACACCATATGTATATGATATTGAAAGACACATGTACAACACATGTATCAGGCATTGATAGACAAATGTACAACACATGTATCAGACATTGATAGACAAATGTACAACACATGTATCAGACATTTATGGACAAATGTACAACACATGTATCAGACATTTATAGACAAATGTACAACACATGTATCAGACATTGATAGACAAATGTACAACACATGTATCAGACATTGATAGACATATGTACGACACATGTATCAGACATTGATAGACAAATGTACAACACATGTATTAGACATTGATAAACAAATGTACGACACATGTATCAGACATTGATAGACAAATGTACTACACATGTATCAGACATTGATAGACAAATGTACGACACATGTATCAGACATTGATAGACAAATGTACAACACATGAATCAGACATTGATAGACAAATGTACACCACATGTATCAGACATTGATAGACAAATGTACACCACATGTATCAGATATTTATAGACAAATGTACAACATCAAATCATTTCTAGTTTAGCAGGTATATCAATTAAAAAATTCCATCTCTCTGAGACAATTCACCTCGGATCACATTCAAAAGAAATAATAATATTATAAAATGAGCAATACAGAATTAATGCTAAATAAATAAATAATTCGTTCTTAATGTGAAATATTGTATTATATAATATGATTAATAAACGTGTAATTATTATGAATAAAACATTCGTTTACCATTTAACTTCCGCTATATATATCATTATGAGTAGAAAACACGACAGTGGGAAAAAGTTATACACACGACTTACAGATTTCCTCATTAAAGCCTACAGAAGTTTCAATATTTAAAATAGGTTATGTTCTGTCAACATGAAATATAAGTCGAAAATCAAAATATCAAAACTTGCTCTTGGAATTACAAAAGTTTCACAGTGGCAGTCATCATATCTTTTTCAATAACAATCATGGCTAATCCTCGGAGAAAGGCCGAAATTGAGAAAGCCAACGGATTTCAGATGGTGTGAGATGAACTTTGAGCATTTTTGTTGTCTTTGGCTTAATTTTCACTTCAAACACTTCAAGGCAATTCCTTTCGGATGGGACAATAGACCAAGGAACCGATGACCCGTGCACTACTGGACTTGTTATACACGTTATAGATCCCTTGGCAGACACCTTGTGAAAATATATAATAATGGTGACATTGTCCTGGCAAAATTGAAAAAACGTAGGCGGTAAAACTCAATTCATTTACATGGTCCATCTTCAGGTGATTGAAATAGATAGATAGATATTTATTGTATTGTTCGCCCTTTT